CTGTGGGTCGCGACCCCTTTGGGGGTCGAATGACCCTTTCACAGGGGTCGCCTAAGACATAACAGTAGCAAAATTACAGTTATGAAGTAGCAACAAAAATAATTTTATGGTTGGGGGTCACCACAACATGAGGAACTGTATTAAAGGGTCACGGCATTAGGAAGGTTGAGAACCACTGTTCTAGAGTCTTTACATATATCAATCTTTTTCATCTTTACCACAATCATAAAGTAGGTACAATTCACTTCACAGATGAGGAAACCAAGGCACAGAAAGGTTGAATAACTTACTCAGAGTCACTCAGCTAGTATGTGGACGTCCTGAGATTTGAACCCGGATAGCCAGTCTCCAGTGGCTTTTAACCACTAGGCAGTACTGCCTCTTTGAGACAGACAGTGGCCATGTCGTGGTGTCTGTTGAACCTGGAGTAAAGTGAGAGGTCAGCAAAAGTGCCACAAAGGGGAAAGTTCTGGAATATGACTTGAACAGGGAGAAGATAGAGCCACTAAGATACTGAGACACAAGGTGATACAAACAAACAGAAACACTCGTTACTAAAGGCAATTCATGTAGCAGAAAGGAACCAGTATGGAGACCTGGGTTCAGTAAGTGGTAATAGCCACCATTTACCGTGTGCCAGGCATGGCAGTCAGTGTCTTGTATAGTTCTGTAGCTCACATGATCACATGAGATGAGATGTTTAATCTCCATTTCCAGGTGAGGAAACTGAGGCATAGAGGCATTACATTACCCAAGATCCCATGTCCAGGAGGTAGTGAGTGAGGTCAGAATGACAAACTTTGTGTCCACCTGACTTCCAAGACCGTACTCTTAACCACTGGGCCATCATGGCAGAGAATGCAGTCACTGGAAAACAAGGGGGGACCAGTCACGGTGATTAAATGGGCACAAATGCCAGGGCTATGGGACCTCAGGGCTAGGAACTTAGGAGGCAACTAGATTCAAAATCTACAAAGATATCTGTGTCCTGAAGTAATGGAACCCATGTCTGGGCCACTTGCCCATTTGGGGGGCTGTTTATTTCAACTTTCCACCCAATTTGTCAGGTCCCACTTATAGTAAGTAAATCCATCATTCCAAGCCAACTTGCAAAGCAATTTATTTGGAAGGTGAATAATGATCTAAATGCCGTATTATAAGATTGGTTTGAAGAATAAGTTACCTTCATTTGAAGACATAAAATAGACTACCCAATTCCTCAGTTGGAGACATATGATTTTAAAGTGTGTTTCATTTTTACCATAATTGCATTACTCCCACCCATACTATTTAGGAGAGACTTGCTTATGGCCCCTGCTCATTGTTACTCACCCACACTGCCCTCCTCGGAGCCCCCAGCCCTCTGTCTCCTGCCCATGTCGAGCCTTATAGTGATCATGTTACCACATACAACTGTCCTTGCTATCTATCTTAACTTCACATCAGTAAGTTGCCAACTGCATTTTGCCATATGAACTGCTACTACTGCTACACAAATCACAACTGGTCTACGTGAATCAGACCAATAACTTAGAATTAGACATTTCTCATTATCAGTGACAAAAGGTAAGATGCTAGGCACAGAAATACCACGGATGAACAACATCTACAGATAATTTTCAAAAGATGATCAGTAGTGAGTCATACACTATCAGAAGCTCCATGAAGGCAGGAACAGTGTCTCTTCACTCTCCGCTGTTTATCTAGAACTCAGCACTGGGCCTGGCAGAGTAAGTGCTCAACCACTTTTTGTCACAAGAATGACCAGTGAATGATGAACCAGTACGTATGTGATGAATGCATACTACATGTTCAGCATACTCCTGCTGCTAACTCACATGCCTCCCTCTCCACAAAAGTAGATGGTTTTCTACCCTTGAGACCTCTGAATTAAACAGAATGCAAATGCAGTGGGAAGAGCGAGGGAACCTTACGTGTGTGAATCATGAAAAGTTTCACGTATCTTATATACACCTTGGAACTGACGCTTTCAAAGAGAGCTTTTCCATGGACTGCAGTATTTCCAGGAACTCCCCCTGCAAAGCGTACTTCATCAGCTGGTCAATCTTCACTGATACTCCTTTCTCCTTTCCTCTTTCCCATGAACACCATGGTCACTGCAGCTGTGACTTTTCCAACATTTAATTCACAGCATTTAACATTTAAATTTTGAATTATGGTCATCCAGTTGTAGTTCTAAAACCCATTTCTTTTAGAGACTGCAAACAGAAGTCTAACTTTCATCGTCCTAACGAGTTTCATTCATTTTCTTTGAGCAGTTGCCTTCTTGTTCTGTGGCATGTACAAACAACAACAAAAAGTGGTCTAGCCCAGGACTTCTCAAGCTCTGATGTGCCTACAGACCACATGGGTCTCTTATTAGAATTCAGATTCAGACATAGAAGGTCTGGCCTGGGGTCTGACGGTCTGATGCCAACGCAGCCTGTGAGGACACGGTACACGGAGTAATGAGGGTCTAGAAGGCTGAGGGGTGTTTTCTCAGTTACTTGGGCTTTTACATTGTGCTTGATGAAAGGAAGTACTGCTGGGAACAAATCAAATTTAGATTAAAGTGGGGTTGGGATTACAGAGCATTTCCCCAGAGTAAAAACTTACTTGCTCATTCACATATTTCTTTACTCTAGGATAAGAAGACTACATATTTTTCATTGAGAAGAAACCTCTTTCTCCTAATGCCTGAAAAACAGAGAAAAAAATCCAAGCTTGTTTCACAGTTTAAAATGTGTAAAAAAACAAAAAGTACATTAGTCTCTAATTTCTATTATTGGTATTAATTTCTATAAGTTTTCTATAAATTAATCCAAAGTAATGGCAGACTATGGGTAAAGCTTGCCAAGCACCTGAAAACAATGAAGTAAAATATACCTATTTTTAGTTGTTGCAGTTAGAAGATATTGGGCTTCTAATGCAGATTATTTAATAAAAATGTAAAACAAAGACATATTTATTGTCTTTACTTCAAGGTACACATTATAAACCTTAAACTTTCACTAGGTATCACTATGTTCATCCATTAAAAAAACACAACAAAACAAACATCAATCCAAATGTAGGTACAGGTTAGTCAATGAATGAGAGATGAAAAGTCTTTAATTCAGCCCTAGCCAGTTTGGCTCAGCGGTTAGAGCGTTGGTCCTTGGACTAAAGGGTGATGGGTTTGATTCCCAGTCAAGGGTAGGGACCTGGGTTGCAGGTTCGAACCCCCCACCCCAGTCAGGTTGGGGTCGTGGTCTTGGTTATGCGGGAGGCAACTAACTGATGTGTCTCTCTCACATTGATGTTTTCCCTCCCCCCACTCTGCCTTAAAAATAATCAATTGAAAAATATCCTCAGATGAAGATAAAAAAAAAAGTCTCTGACTCAGACACAACTGTTTTAATACTGGACTTGGTAGAACTCATCATTTTTGTAGAATTTGTCCACTAAATAGTAAGCAGCCAGGAAGTTTATGGAGAGATCTAATATAAAGGGGAAAAAAAAGAATTGTACTTATACTACTGGATTAAAAAGAGGTTTACAGAAGGAGAAAGATCTGACCTGCCCCCCCACCCCCACTGCACCTTCATTTGTCAAAAGTAATATATATATATATATAATACAGAAAATAAAGAAAAATAAAGAAATAAAACCTGTAATTCACTTTCCAGAAACAACCACTGATAACATTTTGATACATTTTTTTCCAGTATGTAGTTCATTGACTAGTCTATGACATAATGTACAATCAATACATTTGTAAGAGCTACTAGCAAACTCTGTCTGGCACAGTTTAGTTTTAGTGGTTCAATTAGCTTCAAATTCTGTAACACCTGTAGTGAGGTGCTTAAAACTCTTAAATAAATTTATACAGGATTTTGGCAAACTGTTTTTAGCACAGACTATAACTACCTAATGCATTACAATGTGATGACTGTACTATGTCCCACGGTATGTGGCATTATTGTTGATACATTTTTATTCTTTTTCCCTATGCATATGTTTTAGTTTACATGTTTGAAATTACATTGTATAGTACCTATATTTATTGTCCCTTTTAAAAAAGTTTTATTTATTGATTTTAGAAAGACAGACAAACAGATAGGAAGACAGAGAGACAGAGAACAGAGAGAAACACTGATCCGTTGTTCCACACATCCGCGCACTCACTGGTTGACTCTTGTATGTGCCCTGATTAGGGATTGAACCCCAAACTTAGGAACATTGGGAAGGATACTCTAACCAACTGAGCTACCCAGCTGGAGCTATTATACCTTTTAACATAACATCATATAATGTCTCATTCATTAACATTTAACTTTAAATAATCACATCAAGTCCGGCCAGTGTGGCTCAGTGGTTGAGCATTGACCCATGCACCAAGAGGTCACCGATTCAATTCCCAGTCAGAGCACATGCCCAGGTTGTGGGCTCAATCCCCAGTGGGGGTCATGCAGGAGGCGGTGAATTGATGTTCTCGCTCATCTATGTTTCTCTCTCTCTCTCCCTCTCCCTTCCTCTTCTCTCAAAAACCAATAAAGGAAAAAAAATTTTTAATAATTATATCCAAAATCTTTATAGATTTGTACTAAATTTTTGCACTTATTAATCTATTTTTTGGACATTAATAAATATATATGTATATATGTATATTTATATATATAACACATGTATATATAACTGTTGTAATTTACTTACCAGCACCACCACCCTTAAAAAGTTTTTTCCCTGGTATTCTGGTTACAACACACCTTTCATTCTCCTTCTCTAGGCTAAGATCATCCTAAACTTTCTCCAGTTTACAGTTCTCAAGTTTATTTCTCAGTTTTAATGTAATAAATCAAGTCAGATAAACAAAGATTTGTTGACTGGTTATGTCCCTTCTCTACTTAAAAATATTTACACTGTAACAGAGTCAATAATCTCTTGAGTCAAGCTCCAAAATTCTCCAGAATTAATAAAAAAATTTCCATTTAGCTAATACACACTAGAAGAGATCCTACATGCAAGCCAGTTCCAGCCACCACTGTGTTTATGGAACTCTCATCGTTAGCTTCCTCAATAACAGCGTTTGGGGCCAGTGGCTAAAATTGGAGAGATTACACCTTAAGTTAGTCAAGAAATATAACACCAAAAACGACCTGGAGTTGGGGTAAAACATTTACTCATCTAAAATCTTAACCTTCTAAAACTTCTTACCATCAACCTTTTTGCATGTGTGTTCGGATGACACAGAAAAAGGGCAGTGGGCGGGGAGTATTATTCATCCATCAGAAACGACGTCCTGTTTGCACTTGAACCCCCAGTGTGGCTTTACAAACTTGCCCAGAGAGTTCCTTCCTCACTTCCCTTTACTCCGCCCCCCATCACCTCCCAAAGCCCGTTTATTCTCAGGCTTGTGGCATGGGCTGGGTGCTCCACTGAGGACTGCTTTCCCTTTCCCTGCCAGGGTGTCTGTTCTCACTCCACTCTGGGGCCCGGCTCCTCCCGGGGTAAAATTCTGTTCTTCGTTGCCCCATTGGACGTCTTCCTAACTGGATTCACGCACAGGGTTTTTCATGCCAGGATTATTCATAATAACGAATAAACTGAAACATCTAAACACCAAACGTAGAGGATGATTTTTAAAATTACTGTATAATATAATGCATCTTTTTGGTTTTTAATTTAATATGTGTTTTTTTAGATTAAAACTCTTTGGAAACTGGGATGACAAGGACACTTCTTGATAAAAATCGACAGCAATTTTAAATCAACAGCCATTTTCATACTTGATGATATACAATGGAAGCATTCTTTCTGAGTTGAGGAATAAAACAAAAATGCTTTTTTGCCCCTAAAGATGTTTGCAACAGCCCTGGCCGGTTTGGCTCAGCGGTTAGAGCATTGGCCCGTGGATCAAAGATGTTTGCAACTTGTTCACTTTCATTCTTCACCCTGTGCCCCAGGCCCCAGTAGCCCTTGAATGTCCTCAGGGTGCGGCAGAGACAGCAGCGACTGTGTACTGGACAACTCGGTGTCACAGGCTTGCCCCACCTCTTAATTTGGTCAAAGAGGCATGGCAAAAGTATCTGTGAGCCACACAGATTACAAGATTAGAAGTAGAAAATAAAAAGCCAAAATGATTGAGAAGACTATTTAGCAGCATAAAATGAGACACAGTTTTACTGAAAAGGTAACTTTTTAGTCTTTTAAAGAAATCCATCCCTTGGTTTATCTTATAAACATATCCTTGCTCTTACAACTAATATATTTATAGAGATAGAAATCATACAATGAGGAAGTTATTCAAAATAAAAATACCATCACATTACACATACTTTATAGGTTGCATTTTTCACTGGGTCATACATTATGACCATTTTCCTATGTAATATATGTTGTCTAGATCATGATTTTATAGGCTACATAGTATGTCTTAGCATGACAGTATGAACATTTTCTTAATCTTGTCCCTATTGATGGCCATTAATTTTAAATCCAATTTTTCTAAATTTGATATTTCAAGAGATATTTCCTCCTCCTCCTCCCTATGCAACAAATAGAAAACCCCTTAATTTTTCTCATAGTCCAGATGACTCTCTCCTTAATTCCGAAAGATGTCTGCAGGTTTCTACTCCAGAAAGAATAAACCAGAAGAACTCTGAGTGAAAACAGGGTGGTCAAGATGGGAGTCAACATTGTCCATTCCCCTGAATTCCCAGAATGTTTCAGCCAGATTTACACACCTGACTACACGCATACACACACACACACACACACACACACACACGGCAGGAAATTAAAGGTTAATGTGGATGGACCTGGATAACATTATACTAAGTGAAAATAAGCCAGTCACAGGACGACAAATACTGTACGATTCCACCTGTATGAGGTATCTAAAATAGTCAAACTCATAGAAACAAAGAATAGGATGGTGGTTGCCAGGGGCTGGGGTAAGAGGGAATGGGGGAGGTGCTAATCAATGGGTATTAAATTTCAATTATGAAAGATGAGTAAACTCTAGAGATCTACTGTTCAACATTGCACGTATAGTCAATGATACGGTATATGCACTTAAGAATATGTTAAGAGGGTAGATCTCATGTTAAGTGTTCTAACTACACTAAAATAAAGTTTAAAAAAATAAGAGACTAAAATGCATACTAAAACTGTGTGTGAGCCCTGGCCGGTGTGGCTCAGCTGGCTGGGTGGCATCCTGTGCACTGAAAGGTTGCCTGTTTGATTGCCTGTTGGGGCACACGCCAGGGTTGCAGGCTCGATCCCGGTAGGAGGTGTTCGGGAGGCAGCTGATTGATGTTCTGCCCTGTTTCTCTCTCTCTCTCTCTCTCTCTCTCTCTCTCTCTCTCTCTCTCTCTCTCCCCTTCTCCCTTCCTTTCTCCTTTCTCTCTAAAAGTCAGTTTTGAAAAATCTTAATAAATAAAAAAATAAAAATAAAACTGCATGAACAGAGCTTGTTGACTGGTGGTTTTCCTTATACAGGTATGGTCCAGGATGTGGCTACTTTTAGAGAGAATTCTAACCAGCAGCAACTACAGATTTGTGTATGTGTGTATGTGATATGATGAAACCATGATAAAGTCATGTTTTCCATGTGCATTTAAGGCATGGGACAAAGCCTAGCTTAAAGGGGGAAACCTGAATACAAATCATATTACAATATGATCATTTACATATACTCTATACTCATCAAATACCGAAATATAAACAGTGGTTATCTGAGGTGGGGCGGGAGAAGGAGCATTATTTTCTTTATTGTCTTCTTTATACTTTTCTATATTTACAATTTTCATATAATAAATATGTGTTATATACATGACACAAACACAATAAAATGCTATGAAAACATCTTCCCTGACTACTACATCAAAGTACTTCTATATTTTTTATTTCTTACCATGTCTCAGTTACTTTTAGTCTTTATTTTCTTACCTTTCAGATGTCTTTTTGATGGCAAATAGTAATGACATCTGTTAAGTAATGAGCCTTTATTTTTTTCTGGTGTCTATACAGAAGATGCCACTTAAAATGGTAGTGAATTTTGCCCCCCTCCACCCTGTTTTTTGTCTAAAGCTGCCTCCAGTAAGTCACTATAATTACAACCCAAAGAATTCTTACTAATACAACGAACAGCCTTTAGTTTTATATGACTTAATGATAGTGCTTGCTGGGAGCATGTGTGTGGGCTAAATGGCTTCCTTCTGGTATATAATTCCACGTCCCTGTAACTAAAAGAGAGACAGTGGGAACTAAGGGGTGGAGAGACTCCAGTCTATTCTCCCACCCCACCCCCCTTTTACAGAAACTCCTTTCCTTTTAACTTGAAAAATGTCACTGACAATCTGACATTGCCTGACTAATGGTAAACAGACATGAGGAAGGTACAAAGACAGAGGCCTAACTTTCTACTCTGACAGTGACTTGATCAATACAGATGTGACAAAGAACAAAGTGACAAGACAATCAAAGAAATGGTGCTTCTAGAGACAAGTGTGCTGGTCTAACACGTCACAGCGCCTCATGTCACCCTCTGGATGCTTGAGGACTGGAATTGATCTAAAGCTATAATTTAGCCCTGGCCGGTTTGGCTCAGTGGTTAGAGCGTTGGCCTGCGGTCTGGAGAGACCCGGGTTCGGTTCCCGCTAAGGGCACGTACCTCGGTTGCAGTTTGTCCCCGGCCCTGGTTGGGTCGTGTGGGTGACATCCACTCGATGTGTTCCTTTCACGTCGATGTTTCTCTCTCTCTCTCTCTCCCTCCCACTCTATCTGAACAAAATATCGAAAAATGTCCTTGGGTGAGGATAAAAAAAATAAAATAAAAATAAAGCTATAATTTATATGAGTGGGCAGAGCATGGCAGCTAGCTGTCCTACAACGGCAGAAATATTGGTCTGTTTGTTCAGCTGTGCCTTGTGTCTGGCAAGTGATTGGCATTCAATAAATCTTATTGCTCGAAGTTATACTTTTGCCAGTTTATACTCTCAGGCAAGCTCTGACTCTAATGTAGCCCTGCAAATGGCATTACAGGACAATTTTCAGTCCATAATATATCAAAGTAAAGGAAAAAAAAGAAGTATTTTACTTTCCAAAGGAACACAGTAAATCCTGGGTCATCATATCAAAATCTAACAACAATTCTCTTTCTTCTTTTATTGATTTTAGAGAGAGAGAAAGTGAGAGGGAGAGAGAGAGAGAAACATCCATGAGAGAACATCAACTGGCCACCTCCTGCATGCCCCCCACTGGGGATTTAGTCCACAACCTGGGCATGTGCCCTGACAGGGAATCGAACCAGCGACCTCTTGGTGCATGGGTCAAAGCTCAACCACTGAGACACACCAGCTGGACTAACAACAATTCTCACTGCTTTTTTTTTTATCCTCATCTGAGGACATTTTTCCTTTTTTGTTCAGGTAGAGTGGGAGGGAGAGACAGGAACAGAGAGAGAGAGAGAGAGAAACATCGATGTGAAAGGGACACATCGAGTGGCTGCCACCCGCACGACCAACCAGGGCTGGGGACAAACTGCAACCGAGGTACGTGCCCTTAGCGGGAACCGAACCCGGGTCTCTTGGGACCGCAGGCCGACGCTCTAACCACTGAGCCAAACTGGCCAGGGCTGCTCTTTCTTAAACTGTGGCTGGGACATGTGCCCAGGGGAGCTTTCAGGGAACCAAAGAGCCAAAAAATCTGTTCAGTGGTAGAAGTGACAAACTGGGCTCTGTGAGTGGGTGATTAGACAATATCTTTCTCTGTCATTACATCGAATTTCTATGACTTTAGGAGTTGCTGCCATTTCCCTGCTGTCTTGGATGACCCAAGACATTAAGTCTTTGAACAGTGAGCTCACTCAAGAAAATTGGACAGGTATATGCAAAAAAAATGAAACTAGACCATCCATTTACACCATACATGGGAATAAAGTCATAATGGATAAAAAACTTAAATGTAACTCTGGAACCATAAAAATCCTCGAAGAAAATGTAAGCAACAAAATCTCAGACTTCACATGTAGCAGAATTTTCACCGATATATCGCCTAGGGCAAGAGAAACAAAGGAAAAAAATTAGCCCTGGCAGGTATGGCTCAGCGGTTAGAGCATCGGCCTGCAGTCCAGAGAGACCCAGGTTCAGTTCCCACTAAGGGCATGTACCTGGGTTGCAGTTTGCCCCCGACCCTGGTCGGGTTGTGCGGGTGGCAATCACTTGATGTGTCCCTTTCATGTCGATGTTTCTCTCGCTCTCTCTCTTTCCCTCCCACTCTATCTGAACAACAACAACAACAAAAAAAAAGGAAAAATGTCCTCGGGCGAGGATTAAAAAAAAATTAATAAATAAGACTACATCAAACTAAAAAGCTTTTGCACAGCAAAAGAAACCAGCATCAAAATGAAAAGAGAACCCACTGTATGAGAGGATATATTTGCCAAAGATACATTGGATAGGGGGTTAATTTCCAAAATATATAAAGCACTAATACAACTCAACAAAAGGAAGACAAACAATCCAATTAAAAAAGGGGAAAGGGCTTGAATAAACACTTCTTCAAAGAAGACATGCAAATGGCCAAGAAACATATTTAAAAAATGCTTAACATCACTAATTATCAGAGAGATTAAAATTAAAATGACTACAAGGTATATTATCTCACACGTGCCAGCTACCATCAACAATTCATCAAACAACAAGTGTTGGCGAGGGTGTGGAGAAAACGGGACTCTAGTACGCTGCTGGTGGGAATGCAGACTGGTGCAGTCACTATGGAAAACAATATTGTATTTCCTCAAAAAATTAAAAGTGAAATTGCCATTTGACTCAGTGATCCCACTTCTAGGACTATATCCAGTCAATGTGTCTCTCTCACGTCGATGTTTCTCTTTCTCTCCCTCTCTCTCCCTCCCTTCTACTCTATCAGAAGATAAACAGAAAAGTATCCTCTGGTGAGGATTTACAAAACAAAATGAAGTAATGGGGCAGGGAATAATAAAATTAGAAAAAGAATATTAATATTAGAAATGCTAGTGATAGGGCCACTACTGACAAGTCCAAAGGTCTTTGCAATCAGCTAGAATGATAAAAGCAACCTTGATACTCAATGGTAGTACCAGTTTAAAAAAAAAGAGGGGTTTCCTCTTTATGCAGAGCCCCGAGGTGCTGCCTGGATAGAAGTAGCTCTTGCAATGCAGTTAAACCAGGGCAGTGTTTATTCACTTGTCTTTCTCTTTCTCCCAAGTCTGAATGGTTGCTGAATTGCACTAAACATTACTAAGGGTAAATATAGACCAAAGGTTCTTTTTGGAGCAATTGAACATAATCCTATTATACCCAGCATTTTCAATGTGATTTCACCTTCACACATCATGTAGGATTTCTGGCTGTGGCATATTTGTCTACAATAAGCTTAACTTGCAACTATAAAATGTGGCTGTCCTAGTTTTTCAGGAATGTTGTCTTCCTTGCCATATGAGCAACATACATTTACCCTACTATTTCCACACTTTCCCCAAATCACTTTTAGGTCACTAATTTTGTTTACTTTAATCCAACAAGCATTTCCTAATATTTCAAGTGCCTCAGACTCTTCTTTGAGGAAGAATCACAGTAATGAGTGGGATGGAACCCAGTCCCACCACCGTTGTGGTCTAATCGGCTGCTTGGGAGCATTTGCTAGTTGAGGCAGAATTGCCTGACCTCTGGGGAAAATGCATCTATCTTCCCTCCATTTTTTTTGTGTGCATGTGAGTTGTGCCCCGGGTCTGTGTGAGAATTGGGTCAGGACAGGGGAAAGAGGAGAGCAGTCAAGGTCCTGTTCTCCATCTATAGAGAGTTGGGCTGCCTCCTTGAGTTTGGATCTGGTTGTCTTAAATGTGGCCACACAAAAGCACTGATACAGAGCAGGTGCCATAGTGAGCCCAGATCAGATAAGTTGAAGTTCCTGAAACTGCAGGACTTGTGCTAACTCACTTGACTGAGGACCAAGTGGGATTGGGGTGGGTGAGAGGATAGTACTGGTGAACCTGAAGAAGATTTGGGAAGGCCAGTATGATACCATTTTTACCCTACAGTTAGGTGCTATTTTATTAATGGAATTATTTCAGAAGTACCTCATGAAATGTGTAATTAATAGTGGTGTTCATTCATTCACTCATTCATTCATTCACTCATTCATGTATTTATTTAACACATTTATTAAACACCTTGTATGTACAAGGCATTGCACTGCAAGATATTAACATGTTTATTTTACTCTCAAAATAATTTTTTTGTGTGAGTCTTGTATTCCATAATTTTTAAACCTGAATGAAAATAGTCTGTATTTTAAAAAAGAGTAGTTTAATAAGAAGACTACAAAGGTAAACCCTCTACATATTTAAAATACAAAGATTTCTGAATTTAGTCAAAATTTCACTACATACATTTTTCTGAACATCCGAAAGTCTTGCATTACCTGTTCAGTGAAGTGTACAGGAAAAACAAAAGACTAACACCCTAAAACAAATACAGTAAACTCACAGATTGACTATTCATAACAATTTCTTTTACGGAAATAAGTTTTTGCACTTGGATATAAAGAAAAGACCTTATAAGTTAGTGTTAGGTTTACTTTTCTATCAAGGATTTAACAGTGCAATAACAATAAATTGTGGACTGTTTTTGAACTCACACAAGTCAATAATTTTTAATAACCATGTTCATACTCATCTGCCACAGGAAACAATCTCCACCTATCTGTATAGGAATTGACCTTTCCAACCACACCTGCTCACTGGTTGTTTCCATTTCCCAGTAAGTACATAATACTGGGAGGGGCTCTGAATTGCTTTCTTTCCTCAAGGAAAAAAAAGAAAGTATACTTAGCAGGTCAATATTAAGTCACAGAAATCTCAGATACAATTAAAAAAAGCAACCATTGGCCGGCAGCCTCATGGAGCTCCGGGGGGCAGCTTGGTGCTAGGGGAGGACCTAAGGCACTCGGACCGCCTTCCGCTCAGGGGCTTCTTAGAAACTACCAAACGTCCCTGGTGAGGAGCACCAGGACAAGCTTAAAATGAACTATGTCCCCAGGAGGAACAAAGAATGAGTTAGACTTTTAGGAACCACAGTTGGCCTGGTTCTTGCTCCCAGAGAATTGTGTCTTATATTAATTTTGGAACTGAATAGGTCATTCTTGGACACGTGTGAGGCACAGCTGTGATCTACTAAGTTTTCTCAAAACTGTCTGCTTTCCTTAAGTCAGCAGCCTAACCATAGTCTATTTAAAATTCTGCTGAATAAACGTTTAATAACATAAAAGAAGGCCAAAACCCAGAAATTCAAATTCAAACCATAGGGGAAAAAAATTCCTCAAGTGACTTTGAAATAGATGCCTAGAATGTTGCCTCATTGATAAACCTGGTCAGGCCAGTGTGATACTTACCCTTTATATCCTGCACTTGGGTGCTATATTTCACTTAGTCATCAGTTTATAGCTCACAGTGTTGTGCATAATCTCAAGTGCAGAAATTGTTTCTTTAGTGCTTAGTAAAATGAATGGTGACAGTTCATTCATTTACCTTACTGAATAGGCTGAAGCCCCCTGACGACAAAGGCCTCAAGAGTCTTATCTTTATCTTTGGTTTAAGAGTCCTTCTAGCCCTAGTTCAAATAATGCTGTGAGCTGGCGCAGTCAGGGGTTTTCTGTGTGGGTGTGTGTTTGGGGGTGGGGGGAGAGCAAAGGAAAAGAACGCATTTCAATTGTTCAGAAAACGTTTTATTCTTCTCTATCCTCTTCTGAGGCTATGTATTTATGACAGTAAGGTTTAACTTTAAAAGTTGGTTTCACAAGATGCAAAACCTCTGCAGTCCGGGGCGCGCTGACTGCACAACTGATCTGTCTTAGTAGGTCACAAGGTCAAGGTCACCGACTACTCCGGGGATCGCTCTCTCCAGCAAGCGTCGCTGGCCTTAACAGCGTCGCGAGGAAGGAAGTGGATTCTGATCTTGGGTTCAGCCAGGAAGCTCGGCACTCCGGCTCGCTGTCCCTCGGTACCTGCGCGGGCTTTCGCGCCGCAGCTGCTTTTGGAGCGTCTCGCGTCTCCTGCGCTCACTGAGGCGTGAGCCGAGTCCTCACTCGAAGGCGTGGGTTCGAGCCACCGAGATTCCGTGCTGGGGCGGATCTGGGGGGAGCTCCGGGCGGGCCCGGGCGCTCGGCTAGAGCGCGGCGCTGGCGCGTAAAGGCCTGGATCCCCTGAGGATAGGATCCGAGGTAACGGGTGATGAGCCTGTGGGGCGCAGCTGGGAGTCCGGGGGCAATGGAGAGGGAGGGGAATGGGCAGAGGTGCAGCAGGAATCTCCCGGGGCCTGGCCGGGCCGGTCGGGCTGGGGATGCCGTGGAGGGGAGGGATGGGGCGGCGCCCGACTGGGCTTCCAGGCTCCCTCACCTCGCCCTGGCGGCGCGCCCCGCGGGGAGTTGCGGGGAGGGGAGCAGGATCCGCAGGCCTTGGGACTCAGGAACCGCCCTCTCTGGGTCGAGGGTCGGCGGCGAGCGGCTACGACGGCTGGAACCGCAGTGGCACTATGAGAGCGGCCGCCGCTGCTCCACGCCTGCGGACGCGTGGCCGGCGGCGGCGGCTGTGTCTGCGCGCGCCATGGGGGCGCCGTGGGGCCCGGCGGCCGGCCAGCGGCGCATGCGGCGCGGAGCGAGGGGGCTGCCACGGACCGCCTCGGCGCTGGCGGCCGCCGGCCTGGTGTGCACGGCTCTGGTCGCCTACTCCTGCTGGGGGCAGCTGCCGCCGCTGCCCTGGACCTCCAACGCCCCGCCGCGGCCGGTGGGCGTGCTGCTGTGGTGGGAGCCCTTCGCCGGGCGCGATAGCGCCAGGAGGCCGCCCCCGGACTGCTGGCTGCGCTTCAACATCCCCGGCTGCCGCCTGCTCACCGACCGTACAGCCTACGCGGAAGCCCAGGCAGTGCTTTTCCACCACCGAGACCTCGTGAAGGGACCTCTGGACTGGCCCCCGCCCTGGGGCGCCCGGATGCGCACCGCCCAAGAGCTGGAGCTGCGCGTATTGGACCACAAGGAGGAAGCGGCGGCGGTAGCTGCGGAAGCCCACGGGGTCTCGGGCCACAGACCCCCGGGCCAGCGCTGGGTGTGGATGAACTTCGAGTCGCCCTCCCACTCCCCGGGGCTGCGAAGCCTGGCAGGTAACCTTTTCAACTGGACGCTTTCCTACCGGGCTGACTCAGATGTCTTTGTGCCTTACGGCTACCTCTACCCCAGGACGCATCCCAGCGACCAGCCACCAGGCCTGGTGCCCCCGCTGGCTCGGAAACGGGGGCTGGTGGCCTGGGTGGTAAGCAATTGGGATGAGCGCCAGGCCCGGGTCCGCTACTACCACCAGCTGAGCCAGCACGTGTCTGTGGACGTGTTCGGCAAGGGTGGAACCCGGCGTCCAGTGCCTGACATTGGGCTTTTGCACACGGTTGCCCGCTACAAGTTCTACCTGGCCTTTGAAAACTCGCAGCATCTGGACTATATCACGGAGAAGCTCTGGCGCAACTCGTTGTTGGCTGGGACTGTACCTGTGGTGCTGGGCCCCAACCGTGCCAATTATGAACGCTTTGTGCCCCGCGGTGCCTTCATTCATGTGGACGACTTCCCTAGTGCCTCTTCCCTGGCCGCCTACCTGCACTTCCTCGACCGAAATCCAGCTGCCTATCGCCGTTACTTCAGTTGGCGCCGGAGCTATGCGGTGCACATCACCTCCTTCTGGGACGAGCCCTGGTGCCTGGCCTGCCAGGCCGTGCAGAGGGCTGGGGACCGGCCCCAAAGCATGCGCAACTTGGCTCGTTGGTTTGAGCGGTGAAGCTACTCTCCCCTGGTATAACCCAGGGAGGTCAAGTCATCTGCTTTTTGATCCTCTGCTGTGCATTTCCTTGAATGCCCAATCATGGGACTAAGGTTTTACTTATGGGAAAAAAGGTGATTTGCAATGTTATTCAGCACAAAGGCTGGTCCCGGTTCCGTTTTTTGTTTATTGTTTTTAATGCTTTTGTTTTTGTTTTTTGCAAAAGTAGGAGTTAGGCTCTCTGCTGTTGATGGGCATCAGTGTTCAGGAGTGAAGAGGGCCCTTCCTCACCTTGTAACTAACCAGTGTAGAGGTGAAGAAATAGTTTAACTACAAGAAGCCATTGAGTCAGTTGCTCTGAATTTCCTTATCTGCCATGGGCCATATTTGTGGCCTGTGCTGAGTCCAGACTTCTTACACAGTGCTCCTCATTTCACATGCCACTGGACCAGTGTAGGATAGTAGGACTGTGGCCACAAGGAGGGCTTTTTCTTTGTTGGTTGAATTCCTCAAGGCCTAAGAAAGGTGAGGGTCGTCCAAGAATCTGATGACTGTTTCTTAACAAGTACTGTTTGTTCCCCTGCCCATAAATGGAAACAAGATTCTCAATTGTCCTTGGAGAAGAGTTAAGGGGAATATATACGTGTTCCTCTCTTTACACAAATGTATTCCTGAAGAGCTGCTTTTCTTTCTTATTTTAAATACTAATCTGAGGATATGTTTTTTTTTGTTGTTGTTGTTGTTGTTTGGTTTTTTTTAGAGAGGAAGGGAGAGAGAAATATCCATTGGTTGCCTCCCATATACACCCTGACCTGGAATCAAACCTGCAATCCTTTGGTGTATGGATAACTCTCCAACCAAATGAGCCACCTGCCAGGGCCCGAAAAGCTGCTTTTCAATCACGTCCCAATGTACTGCCCTAGGGGAGTTCAGTATTTAATAAAACCTTATGGAGAATCCCTTTACAATGTGAATAATAATCCCCTAACTAATTTCTCCTGTGTCCATGTTTTCCTGTAACCTGGATTTTTTTTTAAAAAGCATATTAAAATTACAGATGTGAAAATAAAGCAGAAGCAACCTTCTTCCCCCTGCTTCCCAGAAAACCAAACTGTGTTTGTAGACGGAAGAGAAGGAAGCCACAGTGTCACTTTCCACAAAATTACTTATTTTGTGTCTTTGCTGGACCTGAAATTCAAACTGGAATATCACTCCTCCAGGGATGCTGGCATTACCTGTGCGCAGAACAATGAAAGAGATTGTACTACATCATGGAATCATGCAAAAGGAAAAAAGTTTCATGGTGTCTGTTAGTAGCAGCATTTGTTTCTATTTGTCAGTTTTTCGTTAAATGTTTAGTTGCATTGAATGGATCTAAATCAGAGTCTGTGATGAACTTTGTCCTTTTTTAAAGGCTAAATCTGCTGTTCTCCTTGGGACCAGAGGTTTCCCTCCTAATCTGCATAGTGGTATATATAGCCTCACATTTCTAATGTCCTTGAGACTGTGCCATGGGACTAACTTTGGAAATATATGTATTGACTTTAAAAGTTGTTTGAGCAGCATATTCAGTCGGTGTTACCGTATGCCTACTTTGTGCCAAACACTGGGCTTGGGTGCCACAGGAAAGGAAAATACGTAAGACAAGGTCCTTCTCTGTAAGGCTCTTACAATTTACCACTGCCAACAAGTAATCAGTGAACTTGGATAAATCCACTGTCAAAACCTATTTGTTTAAAGTGACACAGACCATAAATGAATTATTAGAAAGCCAGTTGATTTACAACCTGAAATAATAGTTTCTATTCCTCCTCCGTTTATTATAATAAGGAGCCTGAGTGACTAATTATTGCCAGTAGGGCCCAATATTAATTATGTTTACACAGGGTTCTGCTGTAAATAGTAATTTTGTACTTGACTACTACAATTAGCTGAATCATAAAGTTTTATCTCTGTATTTGCTGGAGACACACTTAAAAAGCTCACTAAAATCTAAAATGTGCTTCCGTTCTCTTTATCCTTAGAAAGGGAAATTAAAACCCATGGATAAAATGTACTTATTAAAATATTATAGCATAGGCAGAATTATTGCATTGAATACATTTCAAGTCATTCTTGGATGTGTCTCAGGGACTTTTATTCTACACATTCTTATAACAAATCAATCATTTATGTGTACATGTTCAAGTTATTAAAACAAAACAATTAAAGTGATGAGATGGAAAATGACTTCTTGTTTATAATATGAATTTCCCAGGCACTAATGTGTTTAACGGCACATGGGGTTTTCTTGGTCAGAGGGTTTCTGTTAGTTCATTGGTTCTAAATTGGTAGGTGAAATGACATGGCTTTGCCTCCTCTGAGTTGCACCAGGTTCTGTTTGGCTCGTCCTCCTGTCTTTCTTGCTGGTGCCTCATCTCCAAGGGCTTCTCTTCTAATTGAGTTACTCAGTGCTCTGATGCCCTCTCTGCTGTCTCTGGTTCTGGCTCACTGAATTTGAAAATGCCGCGTTTTAAAGAGGTAGAATAGAATCTGGGAACATGATAGTTGGCAGAGGCATCTTTCTTAACAGCTGGTGCTCCAATTGAAAGGGGAAAATATGAAACTGAAAAAGCACTGAATATTTTCTCAGCTTTCCCTCCAACACACACGCCCACTGACATGCTCATTTCACTGCAGATTTTGAAAAATGATGAGGGCCTGCTGAGTGTAGGAGAGGAGTGGCAGGTAAAGCGGACTCCGTAGTGAATGAGTAAGAACAAAGGGGCAGCCCTGGCCGGTTTGGCTCAGCGGTTAGAGCGTTGGCTCGCAGACCAGAGTCCCGGGTTGATTCCAGCCAAGGGCACGAACCTCGGCTGCGGTTCATCCCCAGCCCGGGTTGGGGTCGTGCAGGAGGCAACCGGTAAATGTGTCTCTCTCACATCAATGTTTCTCTCTCTCTCTTCCTTCCTCCATCTCTCCCACTCTATCTGAAGATAGATGGAGACATATCTTTAGGTGAGGATTAAAAAAAAACACAAAACCAAAAGAGCACTATGAAGTAGACAGGTGGTGAATGTAGCTGAGGCGTGAAGAGGAAAGAGGAAACACTGGGTAAATGAGGAAAGTGTTTAAAGGTAGAAGGAGAGGGAAGAGAAGATAGGAGCTCAAGGACAATGAAGGAGGTAGGACAGAGGCGGAATGCATGCACAGAGAATGAGGAAGTGGTATAACAGCCACCCCCTCCACTCAATGCCGCTATTCTAAAGAGAACCCGTGTTCCAGCTTGAGATGCAGCATACGGTGGCAGGTGGAGAATGAAATCAAGAAGTCTGAACTCACAGGGAAAGCCAGGAACTTAGCAAGGAATAAACTAGCTTTCAGCAGAAATATAAAGCTGTTTCTTGAATCATCACAACAGAGTCTTGAACCCCTATGAATGCTTCTTTTTCATCTTGGAAAAATCACATTCATTGCAGTTTTTAAAAAATTCCCAGTCAAGCCCTGGCCAGTTTGGCTCAGCGGTTAGAGCGTCGGCCTGCGGTCCCGAGAGACCTGGGTTCAGTTCCCGCTAAGGGCATGTACCTCGGTTGCAGTTTGTCCCCGGCCCTGGTTGGTCGTGCGGGTGGCAGCCACTTGATGTGTCCCTTCACGTCGATGTTTCTCTCTCTCTCTCTCTCTTCCTCTCTCTCCCTCCCATTCTATCTGTAAAAAAAAATGGAAAAATATCCTCGGGTGAGGATAAAAAAAAAAAAAAAAATTCCCAGTCAACATACTTCAACTGTACTCATTACCCACCCTTAGAGAAATTTATTATTTTTTTACCTAGCCCTAATCACGTTGACTCCTTAAACAGGAGTCCAAGGGCTCAGTGCATTTGGTACATTTAGTAGTTTCGAGTGGAACCCTATTATAAAAATGATTTCAAGTGGTAAAGAATTGGATTTTTGAGATCTTCAAATTAATTTTTTTAAATTACTGAATCTTACCTAAATATGCTTTAAAAAATAATGCCCTATTTGAACATGAGTGCTAAAAATCTTAATCTGAATTATTTTTGAAAGGGGGAGAAATGGGCTGTTCAACAACACAAACACTGCTTCAGTGCCCGGGACTTGGGATATAAATGATACTCAAAAAGTGCAGTGGGAAAAACAGACACGGTGACAGGTAATCCTAACACAAACGTGTTGTGATAAAGGTATGTCATATAAAGTTGTATTAGATCATGTACAGAATCACAGAATTTAAGGGGAAAACAAAGCAAACTCAGTGGAAGCCTCGGAGGGGTCAGAGGGTTACATGTCGGGACTGAAAGTCCTTCATCACAAACTTAAGTCTTAATGTTCTTTCCGGAAAATACAAGTGTGACAGCCTCTGGTCTCAACACTTACCTACCTGATTATTTTCACTAATACTACCGTTAAAAATAAACAACATTATTAGCATCACCTTCAAAGTGACTAATCTCCAGAGGGATTTTTCTCTCCTTAGCAACTAAGAACACCTGCTCTTACCTTATGATTTTCTCGTTCTCATACTGTTAGGTAAACATTTCAGAAATCTCTGTTCCACTACCTGAAATACAATTAAGCACAACCATTTTAGTGATCAAACAGAAATACTGTTAGATAAAAATGAGGCTTATCTAATGATTTATCAAGTCTCCTTTGGGAGGTATACATTTGTGGCTTTTAAACGAGGATTCTTTGCCAGAGGTTGTAGTTCATTAACATTTTGTTATTTATTAAGCTTCTACTATATGAAGGGTGCTTTACATATTTTTTCTATATATATATTTTTTTTACCATTTATATTAAAGACATGGTAGTTGGCAGCTTCTAAAATGACCCAGAGTACTTTTCACATACTTATTTTATAGCTTTTATCTATCCATCATTCCTCTATCTACATCCATCCAAGAATCCAATCAGTCACGTAATCAATATATATTTGCCTATAATAGGTATGCACAGAGGTGAAAAACATGGCCCTTGTCCTCAAGAAGATCACAAACCTGAAACAGACATACACATGAGGCAACAATTTTCAAGTGGCTTGATTAGTCATGGCAGATGGATGTCTGGAGTGGAAGGGGGGCATAGACGAGGGGTGTCTAATTCACCTAGGTGTCAAGAGTGTGTGGAGATTAGGGAAGGTGTCCTGATCTAGAGGAGATGTTTGTGTGGATCTCGAGTCTTTAAATATGAAGAGAAGTTACAAGTACACTTCAGAGATGAGTACAAGAGATACGTAAATGGGAAGAACTAGCACAGACAAAAGCCCATACACGTGAGAGAATGACAGGCTGGTGGAACTGGACTAGAAGACAAGGGTGTGCTGGGGACAGGAATGGGGCGTGAGGAAGGGTAAGAGGTGATTCTGGGGAGGAGAGCAGAGTCTGATCAGGAAGAGCCTTGAAAACGAGGCTCAGAATTTAGGATTGTTTCCAGTCAGTGAGAGGAACCATTAAAGGAGACAGTTTAATTTGCCAAGAATAAATCCCAAAGAGGAGACATGGCCTTTGCCAGTGCTGCTTCTTTCTACAGACTTTTGAGTAAATAGAAATCTGGTGTCCAGTCCACCACATTCCATTTGCGCACCTGAAGCCTAATGAAATTTAGTTCGTTTAATTAATTGACTTCAGTGATTCTGGTTGTGCAGCACTGTGCCATTTCAGGATCTCGGACCCAGGTCTTGTGGTCCAGTGTGCAGCTGATCACCAAAGCGATGGCTGGAGACAAAAGGGGGGCCGAAGAACATGTGAAGGGTGTCACAAGACAAGAGTGCTCTAGGATC